TTTATAAGCTTTGACGATGTAGTAGTATTCCCCGCGTCAAAATGAGAGAGAAAGAGAGACAAAAAGAATGACGTAGACCACGATGACGAGGACGCTTCGTTTCGCCGTTATCGCAAGACCCGGACTGGTTACCCTGCGATTTCCACGCTTACAACAGTCTGCCGGCTAGCTGCTAGGCTTCAGGATACAATTTATGGGGTGGGGGAGAAAGAGAGAGAGGAAAGGGGTGGGGGATTGGTTAGTCGGTCGGTTCGTTGGTTGCTTGGTTGGTTCCTTCCTTGCTTTCTTTACTTATGTCCAACTATTTTCTTTGAACATCTTTTGGAGTAATCAATGTACATATATTCAAGATACATAATAAAATATGTGCATATGTTTTTTTGTTTTGTTTTAACGTCAAATTAATCAGAATTATAATGAAGGTTATATATTTTGAAGGTTGTATTTAAATATTGATGTAGATTTATGGTGTGAATCATACTCTATGCGATGATTTCAATATTAAAAATAATTAAACAAATAATACACGTGTATATATCGAAAAGTATAACTTCAATTAAAACTGTAACGACTAACTTCATAGTGTAGGCAAATTTTGTCGTGTCGCTGTGCGCGCGCATCGTCAAAATTTACTCTCATTAAATTTGTGGCCAAAAAGCGCTAAAATTCAAATTTTTAAATTTTAATTTTGAAAAGTTTAGAAGTAAGGTGTATAAATGTAAATTAGATAAATAATTAGATAAATATCTAAAATATTATAATATATATATATATATATATATATATATATATATATATATATATATATAACTAGATAATTATCTAAATATAGATAAATATTCATAAATATTTTTATAATAATTTCAATATTAATTATTCAAACAATACAATTTAAAATTCTAGTTTCATCTTAACAATTATTCCATACGATATTAATTATTATTAAGTATTTTTTGTTTTGACTCATTATTGGTTTTTTTAAACCATCCCCCCCTTCCACCCTTGTACAATTAAATTTTTGTTTACGGTAAAGCGCGAGATACGAAACGCACCGTGTAGCATCCAACCTCATGAGACGGATGTCCGTCTGTTACCCCTTTCTCTCTCCCACCCCCCCTCTCTACCACCCTTCTTCACTCTGTCTGACTATCTTCCTTCCTTTCTTATTTTTTTTTTTCTTTTTCTCTTTTTATTTCTTCTTTTCTTAATGTCGAGCGTGCAAGCAAAACCAACTATACGAGACTCCTTCCTTTTCTCACACTCTCTTTCTGCCCATCTATTTTCTTTCTTTTACAATCATTGTCTGTTTTCTGCCATGTTTTTTCTTTCTTTCTTTCATTCTTTTTTTTTTTTTTTTTATCCTGTCCTTATTACTCACACAATTGAAGAAAGAGTTTTGCAAGAGATTAACGACGTGCCCACCACCAACCATCTCACCATTACAACTATCACATTCATATTTTGTCTTTTTTTTTATTGATGAGTTCAAAGTTAACTTGCTGTAATATTTTTCTCTTTTTCTTTCTTTGTTTTTTTTTTTTTTGTATTTTTGTATTTTATTTTCTAGGGGTTGTATCTTCATCCATTCAAAAAAGTGGGGGAAGAAGAAAGAACTGGTGGGGGAAAAATGGAGAGTAAGAAACCTAACCTCAATTCGAAATACACTTTTAAACGAGCTTGTTTTTTTACAGTTAATGATACCACGATTATTATGATGTATAAACGAGAATAAGAAAAAAAAAAATATGAGAGTAAGATATGGAGTATAACGAGAATAAAAAGAATTGAAAAAGAAAAGAAAAGAGGAGACATTCTGATTGGACGGAATGAGTTAAAGATGATAGATTCTTGTTTATATATATATATATATATATATATATANTATATATATATATATATATATATATATATATATATATATATATGTCCATTAACAAATATTTAAGAAAATTACGAGAGGAGAGTTAATGAATTTGTTAGAGCGAAATAAATACAGAAATTTTTTTTTTCTTTTTTCTTTTTTCTTTTTTAGATGAGAGATAAACGCTAATGAATAAAAGAAAAGAAAGATGGATGATACTAATTAATAATGTGAAAGTATATACAATAATTTATTGTAATGAACTATTATTGTTAATCGTTTTATGAAATATATATGTATATATATATATATATTTTTTTTTTAATTGAATTTATTGTATAGAATTTATTTATGATCATTTATTTTATGAATTAGTATAGATTTCATATTTTGAGGTTAACAGATGTGTGCATGATTTAATCGTTTTGGTATTTAGTGAATTCATTTTATGAAAAGTATTGCCACAAAAATAAATATCAATTATATTCGATATAAATTCTATTTTTATTAATATTATGTATATATATATATATATATATATATATATATATTGCGTTTTAAAATGTTACTTTAAATCTAGTTGATTCATTCGAAAGATATGCATTCTTTTTTTATTTTATTTTTTCGACCAATTATTTCAGGTGCGCCCATGACGTTGATTTTATCTTATCATCTCGTTGATGTGTTTATTATTTTGTGAGAATAAGGCAAAGAAGAAAGAAAGAAAGAAAGAAAGTAATTAGAAAAAGAAAGAAAAAAATAAACATATATATATATATATTATCGGGAATTCGAATTTGCGATAAAAAAAAAAAAAAATATTCGATGATACGTCAAAATGAGAAGAAGTATTTAACTTTTCAACGATTCTCTTATCTCTTCGCTTTTTTTCAAGAATATATATATATATATATATATATATATATATTCTCGGATGAAATCATTTTTTTATAATCAGTATTCGTCATTTTCGATATCAGTAATAATAATAATAATAAAAAAAAGGTACGATATAATTCATGTCATATTAAATACAATTTCTTTTTTTTTTTTTTTTAAAGCATATTCTGATCGTGATTAGTATCTTATTGTCATAATTTAGAAAACTAGTAATAATAATTAATATATTATGTTATATTATATTATATTAATATATTATATAATTTTTAATTAATACAATATATTATTTTTAATAATATAATAATATATTATATTATTTTTAAAAAAGATAAATTAAAATCATATAAATATTATTTTATATAGTATTTATTGGGATCTCTAGCATTTGAATACGCTATCTGGTGGCTAAATTCAAAATTAAAGTAAACAGGTCGAATTACTACGCCACGCTCCTGCCAGAGATCCCAATAAAATACTATATTATACTCTACACAATTGAGAATCGATTATTTGATAATCGATTATTTGAATGATCGTTTAATTYATGTATAAAATTAGTTAAGTATGTATGTATTGTACTTCAAATGATATATTTTGTAATTTTTATCTAATAAGACACTTATCTCAATTATTTAAAAATACTTGAATATACATCCCCTTAACCTAAAAAATTATATTTTGTTTCCATTAAAAGATTCCCTTCAAGATGAAGAAAAATTGAACCCACCTTTTGCACCCCCAACCCTTTTAAAACATAAATATAGTTCTATATTACATATATGTATTAATACTTTATATTACTGTATTATATTATACCATATGTATAATGTATTTATAGGTTATGTTAAAACACAATAACGAAGCGTGCATGTTATGCAAGTTATTAAAAAAAAAAAAATGTTCCAATGTTAATTAAAAAAAAAACAAAATGATATTAGTCGATTCAAATTGAAAAAGAAAATTATAAAACCACGTCATGCACGACTGATCGAATTTCTTTATAGAAAAAAATATGGAGGGTAAAGGTAAGGAGTATCATCTCATATGGAAGAAAAATGTGAAAAAGTGTCCAGCTGTATGCTATAAATAACAGTTCAAAAACCTTCCAGAATGGCGCTGGTGTAGACAAAGGGTATGGTATGAATGTAGCAATTGTAAACGAATTGAAGTATGCCGAGTTAAAAAATTGAATATTCTTGGCGACTAAAGTAGTTAATTATTGAAAGTTTCAATTACTTGCGTAGTACAAAATAATGTAGTAAATATAACCTTAAAGAATTATTATGAGAAAACGTGCTAGCTAGAGTGATTTTATTTCGAGAACTATGAATAATACGTTTATTGATTTTTTATCATTTAATTTTATGAAAAAGTCAGTGAATAACAAAACAGTTATGGGTAAAACATTATGTTGTGAAATTTGTGTTCTATGTTTATTTCTCAATTCTACTCTAATAATATTTGGCGCTTCTTTTAAAATTTACCTTGTAGCTACTGTGGCGCCACCCTAATTGAATGCATTTCGACGGACACTTTTTATATACATAAATGTTACTTCTAACTTCTACCCTCCATAAAAAAAAAGAAAAAAATAAAGAAACAAAAAAAGGTATAATAAATTTTTTTGTTCTTCATAACACACACACACTCTCTCTCTCTCTCTTTCTCTCTTTCACGTTATTTCAAACGAACGATTAAAATTAATAAAGCAAAATAAAAACAAACAAATTAATTATTATTATTATATGCGAGCGAGCTTGCACGTACGAGAAATTTGATTTGTATTTTTTGTTTTTGTTTTTTCTCAATTTAAAAAAAAAAATTTGTTAATCAACAACACCAGTATATTTTTGTGAATGTTCAATATATATATATATAAACCAAAAGTCAGCATAAAAAAAAAAAAAAAAAAAAACACGAGTTGTCATCAAACTCTGACACACATTCTCTGATATTTTGAATAATGGCGGACCTTGACTTGGCCATCACGTGGTGGTGTAATTCGANTATTATTATATGCGAGCGAGCTTGCACGTACGAGAAATTTGATTTGTATTTTTTGTTTTTGTTTTTTCTCAATTTAAAAAAAAAAATTTGTTAATTTACAACAGCAGTATATATTTGAGACTTTTCAATATTTATATATATAAACCAAAAGTAAACATAAAAAAAAAAAAGAAAACACGAGTTGTCATCAAACTCTGACACACATTCTCTGATATTTTGAATAATGGCGGACCTTGACTTGGCCATCACGTGGTGGTGTAATTCGAAATTGCTTCCGTTGTTTCTCCGGTTCCTTGTAAGATTCAAAAAATTTGAACTTGTTCGAAATATCCGACGTCTCGACGTGAACTTCCTCGGTTGTGTCTGAACTTCTTACGACGTCGTCCGATACTTGACGAACCATAAACGCCTTTTCTCCAAAGGTGTTATTGTTATTTACCAAATATATGTATAATATTTATATACATATGTATATGTACATTTTTATTCATATATGTATCATAATATTAATAATATTTCTCCCTATTTTTCAATTTTTTTTATTAAATTTAACTAACAAGATGAAATTTTTATGTTTTTTTTTTTTTTTTTCTTAAAGTTTTAAAGAGAAATGTGCTAAACTTTTTATATAGTATATTAAATATATTTTTATCTATTATATTTATATTATATATATTTATATAAATATTATATATATTGTATCTATAATATTTATTAATTTATTAATATTTAATAAATATTATATATATATATATATATATATATATAATAAAATTAATAAAATTAATATTTGTATTTTGTTGTGGATCAATATTGTGAAACAAAATTTTTCATGAAAATTAAATTTATTTTATTTTATTTATTAATTTGAATATAGAAATTTTTAAATATTACTAGGTTTTAGAATTTATATTAATTATGTGATTTTTTATTTTATTATTTTGTATTGTAATACTGTAATGTGATTAAATATATATTAAATATATATATATACATTGTTTTTGTAATCTACAAATATTTAATTTATAATTATGCATTTAAAATATATATAGTATTGTATCTATATATTGTATGTAAATTTAATATTATTATTTCATAAATTAATTCAATTTATATTATTTGTGTATAATCTTCTAATACTGTATCTACATTCTATTTATATTTTATTTATAATACATATTATATTAAATCACATTATAACAATATCTTTATATTCAATATTTTACTAGTATTAAATTATATATATATACTTTATTTATAATTAATATATTATAATAATATAATATATTAATAATAATATAATTGTATTTTTATAATTTATATTAAATTTATAATATTATTGAGAAAAACCTAGTTACATTTTCTAATTACCTTGTATAACATTGATAATAATAATAATAATAATAATAATAAAAAATACAAAAAGCCAGCACATTTCTCAGATTTCTATATCGTTCAAAAGAATACATAAAATAAAAATAATTAATTAATTAATTAAAAAAAAAAAAAAAAAGAAAAACATAACACAGAGAGAGAAAAGAAAAGTAAAGTAAAGGATAAAAAAAAAAAACTTACGTCACGTGCACGTCTAGGTGTGTCAGCAGGTGTTTTTGGATTAACGGGAGTAACAGGACGTCCAGTTTTAGCAGCAGAAGCATCGAGTTCTAAGAAAAGGGATCTTGATTTTCGGCTGATACCTAAAACATTTGGAAAAAAAAAAAAAATGTTTTATTAATATTATTGTAAATAAATGTTTCGACAAATATAATGAAATAATAAAATGAAAATCAAAATCAAAATCAAAATCAAAATACAAATTTACCAGCAGCTATGACCTCTTCATCGGCCTTCTCCGGTTTTGGTTTAGTGTTGTCAGTTTCATCGTCAGATGCTGCGATAGGTTCCCCTCTTTCGAATCTTTCTTTGATAGAACGAGCGTGGGTCGAGTGTTGGATTTCTTCCGCGGCGTTTATCTTCGTTACCCGTTCACTTCCGGCAACCGCTTGCTGGTACATTTCCTTCATTTTACCTTGTTTGCCCTGAAACAATTAAATTTAATGGCGATGATAATATATTATATACCTTTTTTAGTATTTTTTTAATAATTATAACCGTTGTATATATATATTTTTCTTCGCAATGTTTCCTATATTGTGTTATTATATCGATTATTATAGAGATAATATTTGTTTGTATTTTTATTTTAAAAATATGATTTAATATAAATAGTTAAAAAAATTTTTTTTTTTAGATATTTAATACGAATAAATATTGTCTTGAAATGTAATTATATTTTTTAATTAGTATTTATAATGTAATTAATTTATATGAAATTTATATAACAACTAGGGGTGCTTCGACACGCGTTGCTGTGGCTCACAATCAATCTGATACACACATCTTTAAGTCAACGAATTATCTTATACCGCCATCTGTTAGAATCTTATCGAACTAACAGAGACAATCATGATTCTTTGTTAATAAACAAATAATTGCGATAATAAATTGAGATCTAAACTATCCTATCTTTCAAGTTGGATGAAACTGAATACAGTGTGCAAAATTTGATTAAAATCGGTTCAGTAGTTTAGGAGTCCATTGCGAACAAACAACGTGACACGTAATTTATATATACATTAAGATATTGGCAAATATTGGCAAAAAAAAACAAGATATATAATAATATAATTAATTTATATTAATTTTATGTAATAATATTGACAATTATATTATTCATTTATCGAAACAAAAAATTATTATATAAAAAATAATAATAAT